CTTGCGCGGGGGGGGGGCAGGGCCGGAACGCCCCGCTAGACTGGAGAGAGCGCTGGCCGGCTCCGCCCATTCCCGGCCTGCGGCGTTGCTTCCAGTGACTAGTTGATTTGGGGCAAGCTCTGCTGGGCTGACAGCGGAACGTTCGAATCCCGGCGGCGCCGGGCCTGCGCACCTGAACGCTGCCGGGCTGAGGTAGTGGTAGGTGTTACCCTGAGAAGGGCTGCGCAACCCGTTAACAGCCGGGAGAAATGCTTCATTTAAATCCATCTAGCCTCACAGCTGCACCCTCTGCGGCTCCGGGTGTGAGGACAGGGTCCACCGGGGGTCAGTGGGGGTCAGTACAGTGAGGGCAATACCCTATCTGTCAAAGACACTGCAATCAGCACTAGAAAGAATTTTCTTGAGTAAATGGAGGAAGTAGGGTGGAAAGGCCAAAAGATGCTCAAGGAATGAAGGGTGGACGTCATTGCACCCGTTTTTAGGGAGGGTACAACTGAGGCATTGTCTGAGTAACTCATCCATACCACAGCTGGCAGAACAATAATTTCAAGCAGTCTTAAGACTTTTACTCCATACAGTGAGGAAGGTGTGAGAGTCTCACCCAAGAAAACTCACCCCATTTTTCCCCCAAAAATTAAGCAATTGATACTTCTCCATTACATGATATTACCCCCCCCCAATATAAGCCAACACTCTTCATAACCAAATAAGTCTCTCATTATAACTTTAAGCCTGGTTTTTAACCATTATATCAGTGTCTCTTAAAGCTAACTCTTTAAACTTCAGCCAAAGCCAGCTTCTTTGAAATTAGGTTTCTGAGAGTCCAAAAGGGCTGCCACAGCCTGATCTGCCCACACAACTTCCATGGCCTTTATGGCTGCAGAATCCTGCTCCTAATATCCATTTCTTGGACAATTTCATATACGTCCCAGACTTTGTCACTGGTAGTGTACTAGTTGTTGTTAGAAGATGTGAAAAATATAAGCTGTCGTGAGGGAATAAAGAGGGGCTGGGTTGAAATGGAACCATTCCTATTTTTAATCTCAGCAGTTCCTTCAAATATTAATGATTAATCAACTGGAATTAACCCGGATTAGCTTTCAACACTGTCTTTTTCCAGTGGTGAACTCTGGCATGAAATAAAAGTCAAGAATCCCAGCTTCAGGCTGGTGTATGCTACTATCTAGTTCTGACCATGGATAAACCAATTAACCTCTCTGAATATGAGTATACTCTAGGACAATCACTGCCCCCTATGGGTTTTAGAGAGGAAATGCCTGCCTGTCTGCCTGCCTTTCTTCCTTCTTTGCGTTTACCGAGTGCCTATAGGCAAGCAGCCTAGAGTGATATGCTGACCCAGTAAAGATCCAACTTCCCTCAAGGGCCTTTCTGTGAGCAGAGACCACCTTTATCTTATTCACTATTTAGGTTTTCCCAAAAAGAGATCCTGACAGGAGGGTTTGGGTTCAAGTGACTAATTTAAGGGATGATCACAGAAAACAATGGTAGAGAAGTGGGGTGGGAAGGAGCTGATAAAGAACACAGTGATAGGCCCTTGAGCTTTTTGAGCCCCTCTTCTCTTGCTCACACCTGCTGCCACATCTGGAAGCATACCATTGTTTTACTTCGTCTTCTAATAAAGCTATTCTTTTCTGCTGTAAAAACACACAAACGAACAAAAGAACAGTTATCAAGCAAATGACTTCTGTGGGCAACCTGGGCTCAGTGTCACTGGGCATTAAGAAACCGTATGGTACACACCCCAGAAATATCCTACCTTAGGGGTGAGGAAATGAGTTATTTACCTACCCATTCCCAGTCCTTATTGGTTGAGAGCTTCTTCTGGGGGGACTTTAATTTGCCCCCATGCCCTGTCAGCCAGAGAAAGGCTTCTAGCAGAGCAAAGCAAAGCAGCTGCTTGCAGCAAGAATCCCTTGGCAGAAGGTGAGTGCCTAGAGAGCCAGGGTATGGGGAGTGGGTCGCAATAGTGTCTTCCACCCAACTGTGACCCAGAGCCTGACCCTGCACCTTCACAGAGTAGAGGCTCAGAAAATACATTTTCCATAAATATTGTTAAATAAATAATAAGATTACAAACTTCCTAGGAGTAAGGAATGTTTACAAAAAAGGGGCTCTCTATTCCCTCCCATAATTTAACTTTGGTTCGGCCCCAACACAACATATATTCCAGTACGGAAAGGCAGGCTAGCCTGAGCCTTCACTTTTCCTCCCTCCCTGCTGCTTGTCCTTCCTCCACAGCCTCCATCAGTGCCAGGACAGTTCCTGTCCCACCCCCCGACCTAGCTACTGCTGTGCCCATGGACCCCCATCCTTGGCCCTGCTCAGTCTCATTAGTGTGTTTCAGCCTTGCTCTCTTCCAAGGTGTATCTGGGAAAAACCAGAACCACCCTAGGACTAGATGGACAGGGGTTCCTGTCGGGGGAGTGAGGGGTTTTCCTCAGGCTCAGAGCCCCTGGCCCTGTTAAATCTTCTACCACAGGCCTATATCACGCAGCCTCCCATTGCAGGAGAGAGAGCCCATCGCAAAGTCTGGTCTCTAGGTCCTGTAAGCTCAGTGCTAGGTACCAGGCTAGAGCCTGGGAAACAGGTCTCTGCCATCCCCCTAGATAACAGTCCAGTGAGGGACTGTCACGTGTAAACAGGTCAGAAGGATGGGGGTGATGTGGGAGGGGCATTAACCCAGACTGAGGACAGCAGAGGGGGTGACAGCAAAAGCTTGAAAGAGAGGTGGGAGTTAGCCTCTCTAGAGGTCAAGAAGTGGGTGAAGGACCCGGCTAGTCAGAGAACAGCCTGGGGTAAATGCCTGGTGATTACAGCATGATGCACGAGGGGCAACTATGAGTTGTGTTTTGCCAAAGCCTTAAGAGTGAAGGAGAGGATAAGAAAAGATGAGTCTCAAAAGGTGATCATAACAGCATGAGGGTACTCTTTTGGGGTGATGTAAATGTCCCATATCTTGGTGATACTGATGGTTATATGATCAAATTATACACGCTTGAAAAGGATGAATTTAGTTTGTAAGCAAATTATACTTCAATCAACCTGACTCAAAAAAAAGAACATACTGAGTTTTAAAAACAAAGCATCTTATTAGGAAAAACTAAGCATACAAGAATAATTTCCTACTATGGTTCATTAACTCATGACAGTGCTTTGCTTTTTATTACTAAATTGCAAATAATTTTTTAAAAGACTAGAGAGAAAGATGAGACTATATTATATCTTTTAGTGTAAAAAGAGGTTTTGCTTTATCAATAGCTCTGAAAGGATGATAAATGACAAACAGAGTAAAGTATCCTGTGGAAAAAAGCCATCATAATATTATATAACATTTTTAGGTCTTGTCATGTGCCAGGCACTATTCAAGATGCCCTACAAATAGGTAAAATTATTTAACCCACAGGTCAACCCAATAAAGGAGATATAGTTGTTATCTTCGTTTTAGAAATGAGGAAACTGAGGCACAGAGAGATTGAGTAGCCTGCCCTTGTTACAGGGCTAGTCAGTGGAGGAGGGTTTGGCCCAAGGTCCATGCACATAACCACTACATTTGGTGCCAGACTCTGAGTGTGCTGTACCTGTGTGTGGGATGAGGGGGTGGGAGGCAGTGAATCTTTGGTGGTGGTGACTCAGGGAAGGTTTTGTGATCAATGACAGCCAAGATCTCTTCCTTGGCCCTCTCTTTTGGGTCATTGTGATGCTCAGCTAGGTTGAGGATTCACTGCATTGAAAGACTTTGTAATAGCTCAGGCGATGAAGGCTAGAAGTGGTAGAGATGGGAAATGCAAGGGTCCTTCATTAGGGTTGTTTAAGAGGTGAAGTAGGTGAGTCTTGGCAACCATGAGGTGTGAGAAACAGGGATGAGCCAACTTTGAGCCCCTGTTCCTGGCCTTAGTGACGAGGAGTATAGTGGCGTCACTGCAGGAGCCGGACACAAAGGTGAATGAACAGGTGGAAGACAGGAATTGGGGAGGATGTTGCATATTGTTTTGACATGTTGAATTTGAGGAGCTTGAAGGAAATCCAGGTGGAAATATTGTTTCTCTGGGTCTGAAGCTCAGAGTTTGAGGCTGGTGTGAATGATACAGGTTGGAAACCTAAGCACATAAGTGGAGATTCAAACTTCAAAAACAGAAATGATTATATACAACATATAGAGCTAGGAGCTGCATATGGATGAAGACAGGAGAAAGTCAATACTTAAGTCCTGGATGGAAAAAGGAAAACCCACAAAAGAGTCTGTAACAGTCAGCTTTTGCTGTGTAACAAACCACTCCAAAACTCAGTGGCTTAAAACAATAACAATTTATGTTAGAGCTCATACATCTGTGCATCAGCTGAGGCTTGGCTGATCTTGCCTGGGCCATGCTTGGGTCTTTGGATGGGTAAGGGGTTCACCTCTACTCTGGGCTTAACTGGGACATCTTAGAATCTGTGTTCCATTTGGTTCACATCCTTCTCCTGGAAATCAGCAAGCTAGAGGGGGCATTCACTTCTTATGGTGATGGTTGAAGCAAAAAAAAA